CAGTGCATGGCACTGGAACCTCAAAGCCCACCCCTAGTGACGTTCTCGGGCAAGGTCACACTTCCTTATCAGCCAAACAGCCCCACCACCTGGTGACCAAGGATTCCAATATCTGAGTCTGTGTGGGATATTCTCATCTCAACCACCTCACTCTAGTCCCTGGACTCCATAGGCTCACGACCATATTATAATGACAACACATTCAATCCAAATCCATACATCCTCAGAGTTGTCTCAGCAATGTTTACAAGGCCCAAGTCTTTTCTCAGCTACAAGGCTATCTCTTAACTGTAATTTCCTGTGAAATTTTTAAAAAAATCAAATTTTATACTTCCAACACATAATGGCACAAAATATACATACCTTATTCCTGGTATCAAGTTCTATATTAGTTACTTTATCATTGCTGTGATAAAACACCACGACAAAGGCAACCTACAGGAGAGGTAAGTTATTTGGGCTTGCAGTTCCTGAGAGTTAGCTCAATAATGGCAGGAACAGCATGGCAGTAGGCTGAAGGAGATGCTGAGGGCTCAGCTCTCAAACCACAAGCCCAAAACATAGAGCGTGCACTGTACGTTGAGATTTCAGTGATATCATCCAACAAGGCCACGCCCAAGCCCTTCCAAACATGCCACCACCTGGGAACCAAGTGTTCAAATGCCTGAGATGATGGTGCCACCACATTCAAACCCCCACAAACATGACATTGTATGTAAGGTGACTGCTAAGGATACATGATTTAGCACTGGTCACACAAAACTGCAAAATATGCAAGCACTCTGAATAGCCAGAGTAAACAAACATTCTCTGAACACAAACTGACTCATTAGGGAACCTAAAGTCTTGATGAGCCACTCTTAGAAGTGACGAAATAGACCTGGATACCTACATCTTAACATAACTTAAAAAATAACCCTCCAATATGGTGGTGGCACACCTTTAACCGCAGCACTTGGGAGGAAGAAGCAGGCAGATCTCTATGAGTTTGCAGCCCCTTGTCTACAGAGTGAGTTCCAGGACAACCAGGGCTATACAGAGGAACCCTGTCTCAAAAAACAAAACATGAAAACAAACAAACAAACAAACAAAAAACCCTCAAAAGAATCAAGCTTAACTGCAAGAAATTTAGCCACAGTCAAAAAAAAAATTCTTAGCACATTTAAAGGAAATAATAGACTCAATGCAAAGATCACTATGTCTAGCATCCAATCTAAATTACCAGATATGAGGAGACAAACAACAACCAGAAATAACTGAGATGCTAGAGTTTACACATGAAGACATTTAACACCATGACTTCCACCTTAGGGGCAGTGGGGATGTATAACTTCAAACCCTGGTGGTTATTTACAGAGTAACTATTAAAAGAATCTGGAAAGTGTCAAGTTGGAAGACCGCCCTAAGACCTAATGAACAAAAGGATGGCTTTTGTCCCCGAGAAGCCTATTTGTCATCTTCTGCACCATGAAAGCCAGCCAGCAGACAGAAGCTTGTAGCTCAGTGCCAGCTTAATTTATGTTTTGTTTGGGGTGTGTGGGCATGCATGTGTGTGAGCATGTGTGTGTGTGAACTGTGCATGCATGTGCGTGTGCATTTACGTTGACTGGCTGTGAGGTGGGTCATGTGTGGTGTATGTGTAGGCATGTCATGGTATATAAATAGTTGTCAGGAGACAACTTCTAGGAGCTAGTTCTCTCTTTCTACCATGTGGGTTCCCAGGATTTGACTCAGGTCAATGACCTTACTCACTGAGCTATCTAGCTCGTACTTACCACATCTTTTAAATATATATATATATGCTGATACTTTCATGTGTGTGATGGAATGAGCCTCAGTAAGTTCAACTTCCTCAAGGCTGTCAGCAATGCCTCCAACAGCATCAACTGCCTAGACCCCCGACCAAAGATATCCATGGAACTTGTGACCAGGGTCCATGTCATCACTACCATCCAGAAAACTGTACGTGGCTCTGCCAGGGAACTATGGCACAATAGCATGAGATTGGCTGGAAAATCATCTGTGATCCTGCTGACAGTGCCACAGCTGTGAGAAAGCTCAGCTCTGAACTGGCATGGCTCTCTGGGTACCCACCCATAATATATCATGGAACTTATCATGGCCTCAGATATGGGATATCAAGAAAGTGATGAAACAGACACCCAAAGGCTCCCTGAAGGGTATTTTAATCACAGGTGATTCCCCATCTTTCCTATTATCTAATAAACACTATTTATTAAGAGCTTATATAAGTTCTTGTTATTGAAAAATAACAAGATATGGTATAAATATGAAAAATATATAAACAAAATATATTGGACTAGTGTACATATATATTGGAATTATATATGTGTATGTTGGAATAGTATACATATATATTAGAACGATATATATAGAGACAGATATATGTATACATATATGCAGATATATATACAGATATACACATATATATGTATTTCTCAATACATCAAGCAACAAACTAAGATTCTGTGGTAAATTACAAATTCTGTTTATTAGGGAAGAACATAAAGAAAATATATTTTATAGTATTCTTTTTCCTCAATAAATTCCAACTTTCTCTTTATTGAACTAAGATTCTGTTATTTTTTTATTTTACATCTTTATTTAGAGAGAGCCTGTGTGTGTGTGTGTGTGTGTGTGTGTGTGTGTGTACCTGCACACATATCATAGTACATGTGTGTGTGGAGATCAGAGAACAATTCTTAGGAAACAGTTCTCTCCTGCCCCCAGTGTCTCTATCCATTTAGCCATGTTGTCACCAACTCTATGTGTTTTAATTTGGTTTCTGCGATAGATTTCTCTGGGTCAAGATGAAAATCGAATGCTGTCATCTGTAAATAGTCAAATGTCATTCGATTAAATATGAAGCCATCATTACTTACAAAGAAGACTTCACACATACAAACTGCCTTACTTTGCTTTCTGTTACTTTTATAAAACACTGTTCAAAAGCATCTAAGGGAAGTCAAGGGTTTGTTTAGCTTTCACGGGGAGAGGCCAAAGCAGGCACTCAAGATAAAGAGCCTGGAGACCGGAAATGAAGGAGAGGCCTGGGAATGCTGCTTACTGGCTTGCTTTCCAGCCTTGCTTTTTTATACAGCCCAGGCCCCACCTGCCTAGGCATGGTGCCACCCACAGTAGGCTGAGCCCTTATATCCCTTAGCAGTTTAGACAGTGCTCCACAGGCATGCCCACAGCCCATCTGATGGAGCCGCGTGTCCCTTGAGCTTCCCTTATGCCAATGACTCCAGTCTGTGTCAGACTAACCAAACACTAACCAGCTCCAGCAAAGCCAGCTCTAGTTTCTTGTCACTGAACTGTGTTCTGTTATACATGAGAAATCTTTTGAACAAACTGGATATTTTAGATATTTTCTAATGAAGTCTTTACTTTGATTCGGGCATGTAAATTCATGCTCAATTTGAAATTATGGATTATTCATCTCCAATGCTCTTCTCTCTTCAGAAAAATTAAGAGCAGACAGAGAACAAGAATGAAATTCAATTGGGCCTGTTTAGTTGTCTACTGACGGTACTGTATATTGAATTATGATAAATTACTGGCCAAAAAGGGATAAAAAGTTTAAGGTGGCCCCCAAAAAGAATACAGACCATGTTCTGTGACTCTTCTTTTTGCAAAGCTTGTGTATTAGGGCCGTATGAAGATACTATTTTAGGCACCTATTTTTCTTCATTTCTTGTTTGTATTTTGGTCTCTCTGTGGAGCATATTACTTTGGAGTACAGCAGAAACACTGCAAATCCACCTCTCCCCATATGTGAAGCATGAAAGACATCAGTGACAGTATGGATCTTCTGAAAGCACTTTCCTCACATCTATAAATATCTCAGAGAAATTAAAATCCCTGAGAACCTAAAATTGGTCAGGGAAACAGATGTTTGAATTCTTCTGAGTTATTGCAGGCACCAATAATAACCCAACTAAAGTGTATGTCAAAGACAGTACAGTGCAGGCACAAGCCATAACCCAGCTACCGTGTGTGTTAAAGAGATTGTCTGAGTGTTTAGAGTAGTTGAAGCTATTTCAACTCCTCTTTCTTAGGAAGGTTTTTTTGAAGTTTAGGTTTTGTTAAATAAAACTTTACTCTTTTTCATATATATTGATATGGACCAAGAACATTTACATACCTAAAATTAGATAAATTATATGTGGCACATAATTGTGCTTCATTTGGGAACTATATACTTTGCTTTCTGCTTTAAGTAACATTTTACATTCTCAACTAGATTATAAAGACTTGAAGATTAAAAACCACCTATTTCATAATTCTACTACCTGCTATGACTAGTGTGGCACTTTGCACAAAGTAGGTTTTCAAGAAATATTGATAGGCTATAGAATTAGTGAATAATCATGCAAAAAATACTTAAAATTAACAGTAAAAAAAAGGAAGGCTATTTTATTCTTAATGATATTATAATGAAGGCTATTTTAAACTCTATGCAATGATGCACACAAATATTTGAACTATGTGCCTCAACTTGACATAATTTCATGATAACTTGATGGCAATCACATTTAAATATATTAGAATATTTTTGTAATAATCGTGTTCTAGAATAGCAACTTTAATAGCTAGGAAAACATGTTAATAATGGCTATTAGCCTGAAGGAAACAAAGAACACCAAACATTTTTTTCAGAAATAAATGTATAAGTTTAAACATTCTGCGATAATATTTATGAGCAAACCTTAAATTAAGATTTATAAAATGTAAACTATCAAATGTTCAGGTAGAGAATAATTTGAATTCTATTTTGTAATTTTTCCCATGTATACATGGGGGAATATTGTCTTTAAAAAAAAAAAACAAAAACTATGTATTTCTGCTCTTGTCTCTGACCATCACCATCTAAAACATGAAGGTGAATTCTGCTTGATGCAAGAGCAAAGTGTTCTTATACAATCACTCAGTGACCGCTCTCATGTCTCAGTCAAAGGTCAAACATCTTCTCTTACCTTCAGGACAGATATAAATGGTACAAAGTTAGCCCTCTGGAGTCCATTTTTATAGAGATCTGAAACAGACAAATGTATGAGCATTTTACTTAGCTTATTGTAACATTCTATCATTTAGCCTGGCAAATGAAGCTTTCTGTTGACCAAGGGTGCACAAGAAAAATAATGACCAAAATTATTTCTATTCACGAAGTACCAAAACTCACTACATTTTTAATAGGAGAAAAAAATTAGCAGTCACAGAAGTAAGATGAGAAGATACCAGTTAATTGGCTTCAAGTGGGAGAAGGATGCAGTGGAGAATGTAAAGAATCCTGTCAATCATCCAGTGGAAGAAGGTGACATGTAGCCAGGGCGGGAGTAGGGGGCTGGGGAGGTGAGGGGTAGCATGTGCCTTTAGTCCCAGGCAGACACAGGTGGCTAGCCCAGTTAAGGTCACCCTGCTTCTACATGAAGAAACCCTGCCTGGAAAAAAACAAAGAAAGATGACACATCTAAAGTCCCTTAGCCCTTGAACACAGAGGAGTCCGTCAGGAACCCTGTGAGTTCTCAGTGATTAAACAAAAGTAACGTAAGAGTGACCGTTTTAGGAAACACAGCAATAGACAAAACTACTCCTGAATTTGTATTAAGGTCACCTATTTGATCAAAAGGTAAAGAAAGACCAGTGTAAATGAATTATCTAAAAACCCAAATGCTTTTCTTAATAACCTAAGACATAAGGCGATCATATCACAGGCAGTATTTCTTACTTAGATGCTCTCCAACACTGTAAGTATCACCGAGAATGCATGCTTACACAAAATACAGGTACAGAAATACTTATTTTCAAAAGCAAATAAAAAATGGCAACAGACTTTAAGAATTTTATTTTTCCTTTAAAGGAAGAAGGATTTTTGCCAAACATAGTGGCATACATATGTAGCTGTAGTACTCAGGAGGTACACATATGTACATATGTAACTGCACACATATGTAACTGCAGTACTCAGGAGGCACACGTATGTACATATGTAGCTGCAGTACTCAGGATGGCACACGTACGCACAGATGTAACTGTAGTACACAGGTGACAAAGGCTTAGAAGATTCCAGTCGAGACTAGCCTGAGCTATATAGAATGGCCTTGTCTTGAAAAATCAAAACAGAGGCTCACAGCAGCTTGTAACTCTAGCCCCAGGGCATCCACCACATATTCTGGCCTGTTTGGACACACACATACATGTGCACACACACATATATATATATATAAATGAATAATAAAAATAAGTCTCAGGGGAAAAAAAGAGGGAGTTGTAGAGATGGCTCAGTAGTTAATAGCACTTGATGCTTTCACAGAGGACCATGGTTCTAGTCCTAGCAACAAACTCAGGCATCTCACAACTGTCTGTAACAACAGGTCCAGGGGATCTGATGCCTTCTTCTAGCACCTACGGGCACCTTCATGCACATGCTCACACACACATGCAGAGACACATATGTACACATAAATTAAAATACTACTAAAACCTTAAAAGACTTCTTAGAAAAAGCTTTTCAAGAGTTAGAAAGCTATTACAAACAATTGCCTTTTAAAGCTACTGGATTTTTTTTAAACTATAAAAATAAAAACAGTGAAATGTTTTCCTCCATCGGAAAAGCCCACAGACTAGACTACACTGTGTCTGTTTTTTGTTTGGTTGTTTGGTTGGTTGGTTTTTTTGACACAGGTTCTCTGTGTAGCCTTGGCTCTCCTAAACTCATTTTGTAGACCAGGCTGGTCTCGAACTCACAGAGATCTGCCTGCCTCTGCCTCCCTGAGTGCTGGGATTACAGGCATCTGCTACTATGCCCAACTGTGTCTTCGTTTATACTCTGTTATTATACAAAGTATAGCATTATAGTTTTCTATATTTCCTTGTTTAGAAAAAAAATGATAACTATGATAGATTTCAACTGTCATATTTTTATGAAAATAAAATGGTCATTAGAAAACATTTATTCTCCTTAGAAATACTAGTCATGGCATCATTATATTGAAGGACAGTTTGCATATCCTCTGTGGTAATTAAAGAGAGGCTTTGGTTCACTTATATCTACAATTTTGAATTAGGGGCATCACAAGAGTTAAGATAATACTGGCCAAGCTTTGAGGAAGCCAAAGTTCAACAGGAGATCATGTCTTTACCTCCACTGAGTAAAATCGATAAAATGCAGGAAATGGATAAAATTAAGTATTTCCACAATTTTCACCAAATTGCAAAAGCTGCTGGAGAAGGTGCATAAAACGTCATGGGATCTGGGGCTGTCTCAGCGGGAAAGTGTTTTCTTAGTGTGCATGAGGCCCTAGGTTCAATCCCCAGACCACCACTCACAAATAATAATAATAATCACAGATAAAATTGACGAAAAGAAAGAAAAAGTGAAAACAATAACTTAAAAACTCTATCTAAATTCTAGCAGCTTTATTCATAAAAGCAAGAAGCAAAACAAACCAGCAAAAACCCCTTAAGCTTTATCTGCAACATCCCCAACCTGACGCAACCCAGATGTGCAGCATGTGTGAGCAGATATCAAATCATGCACGTCTGCACAAGGAAGCACTATTCTGCAAGAAAAAAGATAAACTAGGTGTACATCGGGCATGAAGTTCTAGAAAGGACAAGCCCATCTGTGGTGACAGAAGCAAGTTAGCACCACCTAGGGAAGGGAAGAAGGACTGACAGTGAGTGATGACTGAAAGTGAGTGATGACGGGCAACTTGGGGAAGAAACAGAAATATTTGCTGCTTGGTTGGTGATAGTTTCAACAGTATATTTAACTTTTAATTTTTTTTAGAATGCATGAACGCTGTATTTACATGACCCCCCCATGTCAGTTTTTAAAATGTACCATTTCTATTATATATTAGAAATCCAGTATAAAAACATATCCAACATTAGTGAATATTTAAGAGCACAACATCTAGAACAGAGCTAGGTATTATTTTAAGGTACTTTTGTTTTGGTTTGTTTCTGAGGCAGGATCTAACTATGAGGTGCTGGCTGCTTGTCCTGGAACTCACCATGCAGACGAAATTGGCCTCAAACTCACAGAGATCAGCCTACCTCTGCCTGAGCAGCACCAGGATTAAAGCGTGCGCCAATCACACCTGTTTTATCTTTTTTAAATGCTGTAGGAGGCTCCCTTGTGCGATGGACAAGAATGCACCGTTGGGATGCTGAGGCCAGGGAACACGGTGAAGGCTCACTTGTTCTTGATTAAAAGATTTCCACTCACCAGCAAAGCTGAAGGACAATGACAGTAGCTGTTAAAATTTAATGTCTAAAAGCACTAAATTGTTAAAACTCAGCCTTTACAAAGACATGTAATTCAAAACATTATGCCATGAGGGTTATTTTCTAAACAGAATTCTAAGCAGAAATTGGTTGGCTTGAAAATCTTTAGGCTTTTATGAAACATGTCATGGAAAAGGGGCTGTAGTCATTAAGTTGAAGAGTTTCTCTGCAATTCAAATATCATGGTAATTACAATACAATAGATCCATCTCCTGAAGCATTATTTAGCTACGACATTTTTCACATTTAATTTTAACTTTTTTAGATGTAAAGATTTCATATTATATTTATATCAACAGTTGCCATTATTTACTAAATACCAGTTAAAATTCACCAGTTCTTGACTGTGATTTTTTTTAAAAATGACTGAACAGAGCTAAATGAACTCTTGGTTGTATAAAATAGGGAGGACTGAGATTATGGAACACTCTTTTGTGGGGAATGATAGGAGGACCTCTAAATGCTCCAGAGTGAAGGAGTGCAATAATACTCCGAGGCGAAATGCATGCAAAGAGGACTTTTAAAGTAATGACAGGCACATGGGTACTGCAGAGATACATGTGAACAGCAGAGCCTTTCCTTAACATTCAAGTTTCAAAACCAAGAGGATGAATAACTCCTATTTGTACATGCACAAGCTGGTTTAGAGCAAGAAAGGCATTTAAGAAAGGTAATTCAAAAGAATTTCCCTAGAAAGTAGAAATAAAATATTTCCCGACATAAAATATTTACATGGCTCTATGGGGTCAATATGATTTATCCTTCTAAGATATTATTATTTTATCATAGGTTTTTTTTTAAAGGGCACCTTTAGACCTTTTAAGCAGCAACAGCAATTTAGCTTTTCTCTTTCATTATTTAGAAAATATTTTATTAGTTTCTGTAATCAACCCACATAGGTAAGACCTTACATATTTAATACACTGCATTTCATCTGCACAAGTGGGAAAATTAACATTTCTAGACCAATGTAAATTTCTGTACAATGTCGGGTCAATACAGTAAGCCAGAATCCTTCTTCCCCATGTCCACCGCATAGTATTTGGTCTCCTTCATTAATAAACTGAAGTGCAAACATATTTTACTACATCTGTAAATAATATAGTAAATTAAGCTTTCCTTTTGGCTGTAAATTGTAGTTACACAGCCAGGCAGGTGGCATGCACTTGCAATCCCAGCGCTTGGGAGGGGATGGCAGGAGGAAGGAGGGTTCAGAGATAGAGTGAGATCCTAGTGTGAGACAGAGAAGGGACAAGGGCAGAGAGAGACAGAGGAGAGAGAGATAAACTATAGCTTGATAATCAATTCAACACACAGCCATTAACCCTTACTGTGCATACCCTGAAATGAGAGCTGGAGACAGAAGCTGCAGAGACTAACAGAGTCCCAGTTCCTCCTCACATAGTCTTCAGTATCCACACCCCTCTCCGCATTCTCAACCTCTGCGCTCTCACCCTGTCCTGCTCACTATTCTATTGCTGGACAGAGACACCACAACCAAGGCAATTCTGAGAAAATAAAGCATTTGACTGGGGCTTGCTTATAGTTTTAGAGGATCAGTATCATCATGGCAGAGAGCAGACAGGCATGGCTGGAGCAGGAGCTCAGAACTTTACACCCCAATCTTCAGGCAGCAGGGAGAGAGAGACTGGGCCTGGCATGGACTTTTGAAACATCAAAGCCATCCCAGGGACAAACCTCCTCCAAGGCCACACCTCATAATCCTTCTCAAAGAGTTCCACT